CACATGCACCTTTCCATCTTGCACAGAGCACACCAGACGAGCCTTCACAAACTATTCCGGAGAGAAATTGCGCCAGACCTCTTACGGACAGCGAGAAAGAAAGCTGTAAGGGCACAGAGGAGGAGGTATAATGGAGAAGAGCAAAAAAAGCAGGGACACAAGTATGGAAAAGTCCAAAACTTTAAGAGGTTTAAAACTTTACTCCCTCCCCTCTCCTCCTCCCATCACTGCCCCCATTCACACTCATTTATCTATATAAGTACCCTTCCTACATCTCTCCCTCCCTCCTTCTTTCTCTGTCTCTCCAGCAGAGAACAGAATCAGGGTAGATTTAGCCTGGAGGCAATCCTATTTAGATCAGCTATTTTGTAATTCCTCTTTTTTTTTTTTTGCAACAAAAATGTCCTCTTCTTGTCCCTATAGGGACATGCTCCGAGCCGCAGCTACTCACAGATGGCATACACTGTATTCTTCTATGGGAATGCATCTTTTTTTAAGAACAAAATAATAAATAGATAAATAAAACCTATCTTGGGACAAGCGCTGCAAATTTTAAACTATAAATACTCAGCCATGTGGCGGTGTATTTAGTGAATGTTCTCTAATGTGTCCTAAATCTTATATGTTTGTTTGCTTGTTGTGTCTGTCAACAGCACAGTTTGGCCTCATGTCAACAGCAGCTATTTTTAACTTGCATCACATTAAAAATGTGTGAGACTTTACCCGGAAGACAAAGGACAGCCAAGCTTTGTCGCGTGTCCTACGTTCCGTGTGCCTCTTAACCTTATAAACCAGTTCTTTTACATATCAAAAATAAATTTCAGAAGAGGAACCAAGTGTGCGCACATCTGCAAACATACTCAGGTCTGCACACTGCAGGCTTCAAATAAATAGTGTATGTGTCTTTTTGTTTGCCTTAAAAAGAGAATTAACTATTTATCTGGAGCCGACAGTGTTCAGACCACCTTTAGGCCGTACATATTAAAGTATATCCAACCAGCTAGCTTTGGCTTTAGACTGGAATTACCACCTTGTAGTTGCATGCCTACACAAACCTGTTGTGTTGCAGTTTCAGTTTACAATCATGCCTAACCAGACTCATGCGTAACTCTGACAGCTGACGATGCTTCCACTTTGGATGTTGTTGCAAAGACGCTACAAATTCTAAAACATCGATGCTTCACACACAACTTCAGCCGGGCTGCATAGATGATCTAAACAGTCACAACAGTTTCAAGATGGACACCCAAGTTTAATGTCACCAGTTCAGTATCTGACCAAATCCGCACACAGTTTCTGTTCCTGAATAGTTACCGCATAACATTATGTAACACTAAACTTGACCTTTGACCTTTGGGGTATATGATGTCATCTCTTTATCATTTTATCGTATTAGAGATTTGTCAGAAATGTCGTCTCAATTTCATAATTGGTGTATGAATCATTGAATTATGGCCAAAAACATGTTTTGTGAGGTCACAGTGACCTTTCACTCGTGACCACCAAATTCAAATCAGTTCATTTATGAGTCCAAGTGGAGGTCTGTGCCAAATTTGAGGAAATTCCCTCAAGATGGTCTTGAGATATCATGTTCACGAATATGAGATGGATGACAAGGTCACAGTGACCTTGACCTTTGACCAAATGCTAATTAGTTCATTCATGAGTCCCAGTGGAGGTCTGTGCCAAATTTGAAGAAATTTACTCAACATGTTCTTGAGATATTGTGTTCACAAGTATGAGATGGAGGAAAGGTCACAGTGATCTTGACCTTTGACTTATGACAATCAAATTCTAATCAGTTCATTCATTAGTACAAGTGGAAGTCTGTGCCAAATTGAAGAAATTCCCTGATGTTGTTATGAGATATTGCATTTGCGAAATTAGATAGTTGAAAGGTCACAGTGACCTTGACCTTTGACCTATGACCACAAACATCTAATCAGTTCATTCATGAGTCCAAATGGAGGTTTGTGCCAAATTTAAGAAATTCCCTCAAGATGTTCTTCAGATATCATGTTCACGAGAATGAGATGAATGAAAGGTCACAGTGACCTTTTAACCACCAAATTCTAATCAGTTCATTCATGAGTCCAAGTGCACGTTTGTGCCTAATTCAAAAAACAAAAAGGCTCAAGGCATTCCTCAGATATTGTGTTCATGACAATGGGACATCTGTACGTGTGTACAGACAATCAGAGAACCTGAAAACATAAGGCCTTGGGCCCCGGCTATCTCCAGCGCAGAGGCATAAAAACACTGCTACTCCTTTCACTCATTAGAATATTATTTATGTAATGGCGACCATTTTAAACATTAAGAGATCATTTAATGCAGCAGTTAGGGAGTTTAAGTTGTTAAAAAACACTATGTGGTAATCAAACTTGTGATTTTCTGGTTACAAAATGACCTCTCCCTACATGTAGATGAAGCCGTGGTCGAAATGCTTTCCACTTCAGCCACTAGCACTATAGTTTATAGTCATTCTGCTCCACCTCTGGATCTTTCCCCTGGGAAACACACATAAGGATACACACACACACACAGTAACCACGATAGCCGGAAGGACAGTCCATCATTTGATTTGGACAAAGTGTTATTAAAACCCACTTAGTCCTGGCTGTAAGAGCTGTAAGCTATGGAAACTATGCAGTCTGCCGCAGGCTGCAAAAGCCAGCCCTGCAGACATCTGCTTCAAATCTGACCAAAAACTGCAGATAGGGAGACAGAGAAAGAAAGTTTAAGACTACTGTTACTAAGACAGCATCTCTCCCATTCATTCATCATGACAGCACACTTTGTTTCATGTCATTACAGCCCTCCTTCCTCGCAAACAATCTCAACATTTCCAAACAAGCACTGTAAGCAAACTTTTCGTTTCCAAGGCAAACTGCTGCAACTAACAAGTGATGCCTGCCAGCTAAGAACAGACAGAGCTCTACATCTCCTCCCCAAGTGTAGCTTAGTTTAATTCTGTAGTCTCATATCACATTTTATATCTCAATAGCTTTACAGGCACACAGCTGCAACAATTTTTAACCTCAAGCTTTCCAAAAGATATTCATAGGCAATATTCTGCGATAATGAATCGGTCCAGGGCGTTCTCAAAGTCTGCTGACAACTCCCATAAACTAGCAAGTGGCCCAAACCGTAAAAAAAGGCCAACTGCTGGGAGCTGTGAAGTTTATTGTGCTCTCACTAAAGCTACGAGCCCAACAGGACTCCAGGCCACCACAAGAAGGCTTCACTGCAAACACTAATTTGTGGCGACATCGTGAACACGCCCACCTCACTGTAGGAGAGGAAGAGTGGGAGAGCGACTGGTAGCCCACCTTATCGAGTGTTTCAACAGAAAACAATCATTTTGCAGCAGTCGAGTGTTTTGTGAAAAACAGTGCTTTGAAAACATTTTAAAAAGAGCAGTTGCATGGTAACAACACGTGGCCAGACACTTCAACAGAGGCATCCATTCGATGGAAACACATGATTTAAACAAACAGCAGTCACAGGGATAGTAAGAAAGACAATGTATCACTTGTAGTACTAAAAATGGCTTTGAATTGCGAAAATATACTGACACTGACAACATGAACCTATAAGAAAAGTAAATTTGCTCTGATGCATCCCTTTAGAAGTGCCTGTGTCCAACGCGATGATACTGTGAGCTTGATGTCTACAATAAAAAGCTTAAATTCACCTTAAACACAGTCAGGACACTTTCACATACAAAAATACATTCTGATCACAATATCAGCGTTTAGCTCATGCTGTTATTTGGACCCGACTCCTATCAATCCTCCAGAATTGTCAACATCTGAGTCAACCACTGAGTCAACATTTGAGTTAGTGTATAACACCACCAGCTCCTGTAATGATCAAACACACACAGATATGTATTCACAGCAGTGGTTTTCACCATAAAAGATTTAAAGAACAAAAGAGGACTTTGATAGGTTTGGTTCGGAGCCAAAGCGGTCAGCATTTGTACAAACATTTGGCTGATAGCTGGAGCTAATTCCCCACACTGCGAGCGGGTTAGGATTCAGAGTACAGTCGCCGGCTGTGAGCTAAATCACCACTGTGGTAAAAGAGCCCCCTGAAACATTGGTCAAATAGCAATCACAGACCTCACCATGCATCACCATCAGATAATAAGGCCTCTGCGTTGGGCTAAGAAGAGCTTTGGTGGCTGCGGCATCTCACAGCACGGAACCTTAAATGGAGTTTCAAGCTCTTTTTACACGGAGCAAGACAACAACAAAAAAGTCTCTAGCTGCTGGCTGCGTGAGTGGTTGCTCTGGGATGTTCTCACACAGTATAAAACCACCAAAAGGGCAACTGGCATCTTCTTTTTAAAAAGACTTTGTGTATCCAAATTAAGTTGACTAGATAGATGCTCCTTCTCAGCACTGCCCTGAGTCCCTGCTGCTTGTTTAATTCATGTACTGCTTCCAGCAACCAGCTCCTCTAGGTTTTCCCTTAAGTGCCATCTTTAAGGAAACTTCAAGACTTTTCATTTCATTTCCATCTCCTGACATTCTGTCTGCTTAAAATTCAAACCATCAACCGTCCAACAAATATCCCAACTTCTTGGCAACTCACAAGCTAAACCTGCTGCGCTGACTGTACAGCAGCACAGAGTGAGGAGATCAATAAAACCCACAGAAAACTAAAACAGCAACAGAATCCAAAGCAAAGAAGAATAAACAGAATGATGAAGATAAAAGAAGAGAGTGAATGAGTCAAAGTAGAGACAAGGTAAAGAGGGGTGGGGGAGCATTGATTGTGTCCCCATTGAGCAGTCCGCCTCGCCGCTCATCATGACCACCACATCACACTCACACCCTCACTTTCTCACATTTCCAGCAACATTTGCAACATCACACTGACGCAGAGCGTGAAAAAATAATCAAGAAAAACAAGCCGATAATGAAACTGCAGCTGAATAAAATTAACGCTTATGATTAAAATTTAAAGGCAGATTGACTGAAGTTACTTACAAGATCTCGTCGTTTTGAAATTCCAGGATGCCGTGAGTGTCTTCAAAGTCCTCTCCGCCGCCTCGTGCTGTTCCCTCCACCGTCTTGTACGGCAGCATGACTACGCCGCGAGCCCCCGACGTTCTCAGCACCTTCACCTCCATGGTGCCGATGCTCTCGCTGACATGGAATACAGGCTCCTCAAATGTAAAGATACCGGCGTGGTCGTCGTCAAAGATGGTAACGGTAGCTGTGGCGGGTATGCCAAGGCACGCCATTGAGTCAACGTGATTAGCAGACTCGCCTTCCTCTGGCTCCTCACCTTCTGATGTCAACATCTTGACGTTGGAGAGGTGAATCAGGAAGTTTTCATCCTCTTCAAAGATGTCGTCGTCGATGATCCCCACACGGATTTCCTTCATTGTCTCGCCAGCCTTGAAGACCACCACGCCCTCTGTGAACTCGTAGTCCGAGCCAGCGTTGGCCGTGCCGTCTTCCGTCCGGTAGTCCACAGAGATTGTTTTGCCCAAGTCGCCACCGCGTCGCACCACGTTCACCGCCACTGTGCCGCAGTTCTCAAGGCACTGGTAAGAACCGGGCTCAAAGAAGATCTTGGAGATGGGGTCGTTATCGCCAGCATCAGAGCGAACCTCGTGCATGCTGACAGCCTTTCGTGCCTGATCGGCGGCATGTTTCTTCAGGATGTTGCCAGCACCTGTCATCAGCCTGGTGGCCTGGCATCGATAGAAAGCTCTGCTCTTCTGCTGCTGGCTCAGGACTTGGTAGTTGGCAAGCTCGATGAGTTGTTCCACCTAGAAAGAGAAAACACGAAGGCACACAGACGCTGTAAAAAAGGTTTTCTCCAGCATGATCAGTGGACATGGCAGTTGTTTTAAAATGTTGCTCCACCTAAAATCCAGACGCCCGACGGCTGGTATACCCTTTATTATAGGAAAGAATGTCTTCCTTGTCAACTTGTCTTCTTATATAAGAGAACATTGTTGAACACTGTCTGGCTGAATCACAGAGTTTCATCTTGTCTGCATAAATAAGATTTAATGGTGTGTCATGTGGGTGAATCCAACATTAAAAACAATCAAAGAACACTGATCTTACAATGAGTTATACCGTTACATTATGTCAACAGAAATTCCATCAACAGCGTCTGTGATTCAGTCACACTGTGGAATATGCATCAGATTATCTAAGTCTTTAAGAGGCCTAACACATCTGTACATGATGTGCCAGATGAAACATGAACAGCTTGGTAATTTCATACGTAAAGAAGTCCTCCATCAACAAGAGGAGCCAGGTTCAAGCTCCCATGACAGCAACCATCCGTCCTGCTTGGATTTCCCAGAGAAATGCACTGAATTCCTGGGTCGATCCCAAGCTTCTGTCACCATTCCTCCTTTCTATGTTGTCCTAACCTAACGAGTACTCCTCTCCTATCAGTAAATTATTGGAGGAGATGAATGAATTACATTTTCCTGGTTGGAGAAACAGCTGAGCTAATTGGAGCCTTTAAGGGTTGACTTAGAGTCAGTAAACATATAGTCAAGAATTTAACCTGTTCTTAATCACTGCTTGTGATATATTACATAAACTGCCTGTAACCAGTGAATAAACAAATCCAACATGGTAATGATCTCATTCTTTATACAGAGAAGTGGAGACTTAGCAGACAATGAAAAAGACTGGCTAGGCTTGCTGGCCAGTGGTAACATTTTATAATCACTCTGCTGATGAGTAAACTTGCCTACTTCATTCTAAGTAACATATAGATTGTGATCATGAATCGGAAGAATCAGTTCCCAACTGCTGGAAACAGCTTGAAAGTCTGTAAAATTTTGGTACACAAGTTGCCGAGCTGATGTCATATATGCAGAAACATGGCGGACGAAAGCAAATGCTCGGTTGATGGTATAAAGTTTGCAATATGGTATCAGGTTGTAACTGTTAGTTGCTGTCCATGGAGAGTGTTCTAGATCAGTTATAAAAAAAAGTTATTTATTGGCATTATTAAGGTAGACAAATATTTTGGTAACACTTGAGTGCAGGGCTGCCAGAGGGCAGAGCTTTACATCTGTCTCACAGACGATATTTTTGGCCTAATACACACTTACAAAACAATGAAGACGAAGATCAGCTCTGCACTCAGGATTTCATGTCGCTAGGCTATGATACGGTATTGGTTGTGTTTGCTGAGCAACCTCAGATGCAACTTGCTGCTATGCTCCAGAATGTTGGTACAAGCACCCAACCTCCAAGCAGTTAAAGAAGCGGCATGTGAACAGCCCCTAAGGCTGCAAATCGTTAATGCGCTGTTTAAATGCTTTGAGCAGTAACATACAACATATCTTTGTAGCGTCCATATTGTTTCCACATTACGACATAAAGCTCACGAACACAATTTGGAAGAAGGTCTTCCCAACTCAGGAAATGGCACCATCCGAGGAGCATGTTAATGTAGCATAACTTTTCCTAGAAAGGGAACGCTATACAGAATGGTAAACGATTCATTAGGAGTGGTTTCTGTTCTCTCCTTCACTATTAGGTCAGCCGGCAAAACGGGGGCACCAGTATCGATAACTAGATCACAAACGAAAAGAGGATGTAGTGAAGAAATGAGTACCAATGTTAGAGCTTTGGGATCCAACTCATATCAGCAACAGACGTGCTGCTGCTCAGATCTACTGTACAATAGGCAGTACTGTAGTAGCCCTAAGTAGGCATTCAATATCAAAGCACTTGATGTCGAAGTAAGACTGAGGCAAATGCTTGTTTCTGACAACAGGTTAATCAGCCTTGTTGTTAATGCATATAGAGATGGGCAAAAGTGTAAAAATGTATTTTTGCATGGAAGAAGAATTCCAGTTTGAGCAGCTTATCTTGGTGCTTGCAACTTTGACTTTGCTTTTTTGTGTTGATCCTTGTCAAGATCACTGAGTAGAACTGTCCTTGTCACGCCATATTTGACACCTACAATATATTATTTGTTTTTGTGTTGTTTGTTTCAAATACAGAGGTGAGCAAAGAACGATACGATACTGAAGTTCGACTGGCCCCTAAGTGCGGTTTGTTTGGGCAGGTATGAGCACAGCAAACGCACTCAGGTGTGCACCAAAACAACCGAACCAAGACCTTCTTGAAGAGGTGGTCTCAGTCTGGTTACAAATGAACTCTGGTGCAGTTCGTTTGTGGTGAGAACGTGTTCCAACCTGGATCTGAACCAACTGCAGTCACATGACACATTGTTTGGGTTAAACATGAGCATGTTACAGTCCTGAAGGATTATTAATGTGCACCTCCTCCTGTACTGCCTTAATATGCACATTCAGCACATCCAATGCATCAAAACATTGTTTTCTAGTTGGAGCCGCGCCTCGTTTTCAAACTGTATGGTTTGACTAAAATGAACAATGACAGCAATATAGTCCACGATGAGCAGCGCTAAAATCAACCTGCGTAGTTGTCCCTCCATTGTGACATTAGAAAGTGTCACATTTATCTTGCAAGTGTACTCTTCTTCAACGTTTGCTTTACTTCCTGGATTTTTCCCACATGGAAATTCTGACCAATCAAGAGCAGCTTTCTCACACAAGGCATTTGATCTGGTCCTCTTGTAAATGCTGCCGTGAGAACACGAACCAACTCTAGGCAATTATACAACTTTGGAACAAAAAGAGTCCCTGATTCAGACCAAAGGAGACGACTCTAGGTCTGAAAGCACCTTACATGAAGGTAATCGCCAAAATTCTTGATCCATACAGTACTGTCAGTGATCTAGGACACATGCTAGACTCAACATTACAGCTCTACTATCCTGTACATACCGACGCAATGTCTGATAACTGTACTACACTGTACCATTAGGCACAAGTATGCCCTATAAGACTCTGTGTTAACAATAAGACTCTGCAGCGATGACATAAAAACGCATTTACTATATGTTTATCATGCTGGCAGACAGACAGGCACATAGAGTATGAGTTGCCAATATTAGAACTGAAGTATCTGTGTTTATCTTTTTATTTACATATTGATACAATGGGTGCTTGCTTTGCTTTGCAATTTTCTTTTTTCAGATGTATCATTATCAAATTAATTTGAGCGCTTGCGATGAAACCTTAGCTACACTCATCACCATAATCACTGTGATAATGGAGGCAAATAGAAAGCGCATCATCTGTTGCTGCTTATTTTGTCACTTCGCCTTCAATACAAGAAAACACCACTGAGAAAAACACCCCAGACAGGGGCAGCAGTGACAGGATGTTTTTCTGCTCCCTATGTGAGGTCCTGTTTGACTTTGTTTCTCACCTCCTTGTCAGGGTGTTTCTGCTTGAGCTCCTTCAGGATCTTGGCCATGTCTCTGCGGGTCTCCTCCTCGTCCAGATCCTTCTCATCTATATCCAAACCCAGCGGACCATCCAGGAAGTCAACACCATGAGAGTTCAGCATCTTCCCATCCATCTCAATATCCACCTTATAACAGAAAAGACAGCAGGTTAATCAGTACTATTGATTCAAGGCTTTGGATCAGTTTGTCTAATCTCAAGGCAGAAACATTTCTGGTGCGGTCATTGAGGTGAACTGGGAACTTGGTGTGTGCCTAGAATGGCCTATAACAACTATGCAAAGAAATGAAAAATGTAAAGTGTCCAAGCAGCAACGTCTGGGGCTGAAAAATGGGGCTATCGTGAAAGTGACAACAACTGCAGTTCCCCTAATGGCCACTTGAGGCTGGCTCCAAGAGCAGGTCAGCCTTTATAAACCACCATTTTAAGAACATGTTTACAGCATAGTACAAAAAAACATTTCGGTCTCTCATGCTGTGAATTGAACTGATCCATTTTAATGTGATGAAGGCTTAAAGTTATGTATAATTACGGGCATAGCCACTTGATAAGTTGCTACCATGGCGAAAACATTAGGTAGTGTAACATGCCGTAACCCCAGATTCACAGAGTATAGACCTAGCCATAGTCACTATTTTAGTGCGTTTCAATTCATTGAAGTTGATGGTAAAATTCTGGCTGAAAAAATGTGGTTTTAAAACTTATTTGTGCCCATGACACACCAAAGGGCAAGCCAAAATCTCAAGGCACACTCGTATTTATATCTGTGCACAATAGCCTCTATTATGTTATGACTCTTATCACCACAAAAGTGTTGTTTTTATTTACTAATATAAAAAACAATTGACAACCAACTATTATTCCTGAAATATTTATTGACAAAATGACTTAAGAATTCAATTTAAAGTTTTTAAAATCAGATCAAAGCATGGATAACACATGTAAGATTATGTAAAATAATGTGATGTGCCACACATTTATAATAAGTTGGCGACAAATAGGTTCCTTGTGTATGTTTTTTTAATTAAATTAATTTAATTTAAATCACATTTTTTTAGGTAGAGTTTGGCTCTTTATTAGGAAATAGGCATGCACAACATGCTGATACATTCAATTAAAAATTTATTCATACCTCTTTGTATATGCCCAGCTGAATATTTCATTAATAATGTGTGGTCATCACAAAACCCCACGACACAACTGGATTTGCATCACGGCACATTTGAAAACCAGCGCTCTAAAGGACATTCAATACATTTTTTAAAAATGTTTTGCCTGTTTGTCACAAGCAAAATAAGCATTAGTATTTTCACAGTATATGCACCATGCCAACTAAGCTAACTGCTAGTGTGAGGGTTATCCCCTGATCTTTTCTGACTCCCAAAAACAAGATGGCGACAGCCAGGATGTCAAACACAAGACTTTAGAACGGTAGTCCACAAACCAATAGGTGATGTCACAGTGGCTACATCTATTATTTTATACAGTCTATGATGTGTCTGTGGAGTCTGTGCAAGTCATATTCAATATTACAGCTGCATTCCCTGGTTTTCTTAAATGTATGTCTGATACAAGCAGATACTGGCATCAGCTTTTATCAGACATGTTAATAATATGTCCACCATCTGTTTGCCGCAGAGTAAAGAGCTTGTTCTGTTATTCATTGAAAGCCTGTTTTCCTTGGAGTACAGTTGTTTTGATGAAATGTCTTTTAGCTCTTTAAGCACGACGGCAATTTAAAACTTCTAAATTATTAGGCTTTCCCCTCGGGGACGATGTTGGGTTTGATTCAGTGATTTCTTTCAGCCAGAAGTTGAGATGAAAGTCCTCTTCATGTGCTAATGGAGCACTGATTCTTAATCTCATCGAACAAATGAGAGATACAGTAACACTAGTAATTTTGGGAAGAAGGAACACAGAGACTCTTAATTTACTGAGTGGTGAATAAATGTACTGTACTACGGCACAGTGCTGAAAAATTAATTAGATGCATGCGATGCGCTGCATAGAACATCACACGACGCCTCAGATAGTAATCAAAACAGGAAATTAAACAGTGACAATATTAGAAAGTATTTGTGTTTGCAGTAATATGCTTCATAGCATGAGTTGGCAGAATTCCATCCAGTAAAACAGATAATTGCCTCAGCTATATGTAACTCAGGAACTCACTTCCGCCTACACAGAGCGCGTTATCAGCTCCTTTGTTTTTTTCCACTGCATGTTTGGATGAGGACAGCTTAATTAATTTCTACTGGTCGGCTGTTCTCTAACTGATATGCCTTGGGGAGGGAGACAGAGAGCTCCCAGCATCACTAATGAAGGATTTGTAGCTTCTCAAATGCTTCATATTCCACACTAGATTAAACCTGTTCCAGAAATACCACAATCATTTTCATCATTTCTAATGTCGTCGTCATCATCACCATCATACAGTGCTGCATTTTTCCTATTGACAAACTATAATATAATGATGTATTTGAAAGGAAGTCCCTGCTTTTCAGGTTAAACATACCTAAATACTTGAGCATATTAGATTCAGCTTAAATGAAAGTGAAGACTACCCTACTAGAAGTTATATTGGTACCAGAAGTAGTGATAGAAGTCTCCATCTAATGACTGTTGTGATGATAATAGTAGTGGTACTAATGGTGATAACAGCAGCAGTAGTGTGTGTTTTAAAGCAACAGTTTGTAATTGCTAAAACTGTCACGATATGCTCAAAGAAGAATGTGAGACAGATTGTCTGTGAAAAAAAATCATGTCCCTCCTTCTGTTCCTACTGCTTCGAATGGCTTTGCTTGAATCTACGGCAGCACACGGAAAACAACCAGAGCAGAGGAGTCTGTAATGCAGCTGTTTAACATGTCAGTCACTGCTCATGAAAACAAAAGACAACTGAAATTGTATATTCTAACACACTTTTATTTTTAATTCAAACATGAAACATGTGTCACTTAAATATAAAAAATGTTAACTTAATCTGTGGGGAAAAAAATCATATACCTTGTAGCACTTTTATTGTCCTTTCCACACATGAACGTAATCAATGGATCAGATCTTAGGAATCTCTAATGCAGCAGTCAGTCAGGTTTACCACTGCTCGTGAACTGTGTCAAACTGTCAAACTAGGCAACGCTGATCAAATATGAATCAAAGGAATTTAAGAAAAAAAAAAATATATATATGGCGAAAACATAGTTTCTTCCAACTCTAGAATTAAGATAAAAATATTCACAAACGAAAAAACACTAATGGACGGTGATAAGTAGCGTTTAACTTTTGACTGAACACTAAATTAAAACCCTTTGCGCACACTGCAGTACAATCAAACAGATGTGCAACTCAGAGCATCAGAAGTGTCTCTGACACCAGACTCAGAGAGGACCGGTGGAACTGGAAAATGCACATTTTACATCAATACAATCTATTTTATCATTATTTTGAGTCACATTGTTGAAAGAATTTAGTCGTCTGTGTTCAAGCAGGATAATAGCAGGTCTCCATTGTGCATCGGGCTTTCTATTTCCTTGTCTGAGATTTTTTCTTTTTTAATTACATGATATAGGCTATTCTCCCTTAACTCACCAGTAAAAAATACCTTTATCCATTTCAAATATTAGGCCTACTAGTTACTACTTATGTTTTTCAAGTGATTTCCCAAATTTGTTGTTGAGTTGTGATATGCCAATTGCTTTTGGCAAATCTGGCACTCTGCTTTCTGGGGGTTGTCAGGGCATATTTTAAAGTGCAACCACACATCTGATGACCTCTTGGACATGTCTGCCAGCTCTGAGTGCCGGACTGGTGGGGGTTAGTGTTGCATTTAAGGCCTCCCCCCAAAAAAAGGAAAAAAAAAGCGCCGAAAATTCAAATTTTTTTTTTTCACAATCGAATCCCGTGCCATCGAACAAAGATTCGAAGCTTCGAATTTTTTTGGGTCAGCCCTAGTTTCAACTAATGTGTTACATGATAGAACCACTACCAGTGAAGCCATTTTAGCAGCATGTAGATAAATTCCATCATTCATTCATTTTCTGTAACCCCTTATTCTGTTAGGGGTCACAGGGCGCTGTAGCCTATCCCAGCTGACACTGGCGAAGTCACAGGGCTGACACATAGAGACAGATACCATTCACACTCACGTTCACACCTACGGACAACTTAGAGTCACCAGTTAACCTGCATGTCTTTGGACTGTGGGAGGAAGCTGGTGTACCTGGAGTAAACCCACGCTGACATGGGGAGAACATGCAAACTCATGCAATCGAGAAGCCTCTTGCTGTGAGGCAACAACGCTAACCACTGCACCACTATGGCCCCCAGGCAATGCAGTCACAGAGTCTTAATTTATGTGTCATGCCTAGTTTGGCAGTGACGCAGTTCATGAGCAGTGATTGACCTGATTGACTGCTGCGTTAAGGAATACTTGGCTCTGATTGGTTGATTTCAGTCATGTGTGGTAAGGCCATTTAAAGTGCTACAATAGGCAGAGGGATATGATTTTTTTTGACAGATTATCTGTCTCATTTAGTGCTGTGTGAGTACAGTGACAGTGTCAGCAAATATGACAAAGACATATTTTTTATATAAGTTATCAAGTACATAGTGCAGTGACACATTTTTCATGTATGAACAAAAAAGGTATGTTAGGATATATGATTTTATAGTTGGTTTGTGAACTGCTTTGGGACAATATTAAAGGATATTTACTATTATTTTCATTATTTTGTTCTATTGATTCTGAAAATATTGTGCTCATTGGAGATTGGATTCGTGGATTCATAGATTGGAGAAATCCAATCCATGAGCCAACCTATAATGGGAATAATAATCCCTCATTGCACAGGGAAAAAACATGTGCACAAGTAGACTGGAGACTGGGTGTTTGGGTGATAATTTTACTTCCTGTCTTTGTTTTCTCTTACAAGTAAGTTTGGCTAACCTGCAGGCATGTTTAAAACCAGTCTGATTGTCTGTCTACATGCATGTTTTACCCTGTGTGCACTCTTTTTACTGGTGTAACCACATTCCTAGGTCTCTTTACAGTTGGCCAAACCAAAGACATTACATCCAAGTTGTAAAAAACTGGAAAGCTTTAAAGATAAAAACAGTCTCTGAAGTCTAACAGTGTTGCAGGAAGCTTCTATCATTTGAGCTCTGCTGCAGCAGTAATGGGGGTAATACTAATGCAAAGTATCAGTGTTTGTTGTAGTAGTGGTACTGAGCATACCTTGGAAGGAAGTGGACGGTCTCCCTCTGTCTCGATGATCATGCCACGCTGCTTGCCAGTGCGGTAACGCTTGTACACATACTTGTAGAACAGCAGGCGGCGGTCGGCCACCCAGGCGAACACCACACAGATGGGGAAGAAGAGGAACGTGAGCAGCCCCTCCCACACCTGCACAACGCCAGGTGAGATCACAGACAGGATCAGGTAGAGCCAAATGTAGGCGAAGATACTCCAGGTGGCCGTGACAAAGAAGACGCGGAGGTGCTTGACCTTCCTCGTCTCGCCGTCGGGCACGACGTACACACAAAGCCCGATGATGACAAACATGTTGAATGCCGCAGAGCCCACAATTGTGGAGGGGCCCAGTGCGCCAGCATGGAACCCGTGACCTACGACTTCTATGACAGACAGCAGGATCTCCGGAGCTGATGAGCCGAGAGCCATGAGGGTGAGATTGGAGACGGTCTCATTCCAGATCCGAACGGTGGTGGTGGTGGTTTCCCCGTTGGGTTTCTTTATCGTGATCTCCTTTTCCTGCGATGTGATGACCTCTATTGATGCCATGAAACGATCCGCGATGATCGACACGCCCAGGAACATGTACACCAATGCCACAAAGTAAACTGTAGCCCGAGCCACTTTGTCGCCAAATGACGGGTTTTGGGGCTCCCAGATAGGCAGGACCACACCCTTCTCGCACGCCTCAGCCTTGCTGCACTCAGTTTTATTAGTGGACACCGCCGAAACAGAGCCACCCAAGGTCTGCTCAGGGGCAGCGCCAGCCAATGAGGGTTGGAGCTCAAGGAGGAGAATGACCGTGACGACTGCTAGCCTCAGGGCAGGGGACAGGAGGGAGGAGTGATCCCAGCGACCCATGTTGACGCCCAAACCGGTACTGTGAGGTGACGATTAATGAGGGTGTTAAACCTTGAAAGAGAAGAGAGAAGAATTCAGATTAGACCATTGTAAATGAATATTGTTAAAACAGTGACATGTTTGGATGAGGGAGTTGGTTCGATTGCTTCCTTTAATTTGAATTTTCATTGCAATATTTATATTATTTCAAGATTTAGGATGATATTTATGTATGCTGCAGGCATTTGGGTTGAACCTGCCATAGGTCTTTTGGCACTTGACTTTAGGACATCATTTTATATCAACAACTTTGTTTAGAAGCTGTGTGTGTGCTTATATATTCGTTAAACTTCCTGTAAATGCTGATGCAGTCAAAGGAAATCAGTCTGAAAAAACACACTTTAATGTCACCTTTACATACTGAAAAGCAGTGTGGTTGCTCTCTATACTTGATGCATTAGAAAAATTAAAAAATAAACAGCCCAGTTCACTTGAGGGCCGCGACGAACCTCAAAACCACAAAAATGAAAACATATGTTTCAGGTAAAATGTTTGCTTAGCTGTTTGGGGGCAGCAAGTTCAAATAACCACGCCAAAGATAAACTCCAGCTAAGAAGCTCAACACTATAGATTTCCGAGGAGCAGCTTCTGAAATCTCTCTGCAACATTCCTGCAGCAATAATACCCTGCTGTTCCTCATGCAACCCGGCCAGGAGTGGCTCTCTGAGATAACAGTCTGGCTGACTTCTGTCAACAACGCTGGCTTGTGAATTAGGTTACTGTAATTACTGGCTCTGAAGCCTGACAGCCATCACTTGAAGGTAATTTTGTATTCCAATTTGTATTTTTGTAAAAGTGGTTAGTAAGATAAAGATAAAGCTACCAGGAAAAAAAGGTCTGCACAGCAACTCATGGCCTCTAAAATTACCTCAAACTTTTATCAATCCCTTGTAGTTTTAAGTCTTGAGAGACACAGTATGTAACATCAAACGCCTCAGAAGCATTCATTCCAGATCTGCTGTACAACATTGTGTCTATTTTTTGGCATTTCAGCTTTTTTGTCAACCAACTTATCAATTCATCAGCTAACCATTAAAGCTACAGTGGGTTACTTTTAAAAAATAAATAACCTTTTTGTCCTATTTGCTAAAACTATCACTATTTCCTGACAGTAACACATGACACAGATAGTCTTTGAAAAAAAAAATAGGTCTCTCTGGCTCATTCTCGTGCTCCTGATGACATTGGCAAGAATCCACAGCACCTGAACAACAACAACCAATCGGAGCCAGGAGAAGTCTCTAATCCAGTGTCAATCACTGCCTGTGCGCACACTGCCCTGCCAACAACAGCGTTCATAGCAAAAACAAAAACCCAAGAAGATCCTCATCTGTCTTCTTCTGAAATTTAAAGTGAGAGCTGGTTTTCTGTCATCAGTCTTCTCCCGTTTACTTGTCTTTGCCGGGAATGCTGTTGTGGCAGAGGAGGGATGGACAGTTTCTCTACTTGCTGGTTTTTGTTTCTTAGCTATTGTGTTTGAGAGGCTCCTCCTGGATCACTGTATCTATGGCATACCCTACCCTGTAGCCTGACATGCAGCTCCCCAGAAATGTAACTACACATCACGGCAACGCAGACCTCCTGGCTGAATCCATTTCCCTCAGTGGAAGCAAAGGTTTTATTTACTCACAGATACGAAACAATAAACTGTAAGGACAATAAAGCCTCCACAAAAATAGCATTTTAAGTCTTGTGTGTGACTTATCCTGGCTTCATGTGAGTAAGGGAAATCACTGGTCTTCAGTAGGCTAATTTATGCAATGTAAAATGCCATAGGCTTGTGCTAATGACGTTAGCATGTTGTATTTGTTTGAAAAACGTGTTAAGTATAAGACAGTTGTTTTGTCGGTGAACCTTGTGAGTTGTAATGGAGACAAATTTTGTAACGTTACATTTGTTAAATGTTACTGTGAAAAGTCTGCTAGCTGCTAGGCTAATTTATACAATGTAAAATGCCATAGGCTTGTGCTAATGACGTTAGCATGTTGTATTTGTTTGGAAAACGTGTTTAGTATAAGACAGTTGTTTTGTCGGTGAACCTTGTGAGTTTTAATAGAGTCAAATTAGGTACCGTTACCTTTGTTAAATGTTACTGTGAAAAGTCTGCTAGCTGCTAGGCTAATTTATACAATGTATAATGCCATAGGCTTGTGCTAATAACATTAGCATGTTGTATTTGTGGGGAAAATGTGTGCAGATAAAGACAAGTATTTGTCTGTGAATGCTGTGAGTTATTGTGAAGCTGATTTGTGTACTTGTGTTTGAAATTGTCTCTATTAAGCCATGTTTAATGTGTGTTTAATGTGTGTTTTGAGTGTGCACTTCACAGAAACCACACTGCCAACTAGTGTTTTGGAGGTTTTGAAGCAAATATTACATAAAGACATATTTACAATAGTTACCTACTAAACCTTTAACTCCACTCAAAACTTTGTGATAAACTGCTCTAACAGCATTTTAAGTGCAGTGAGGAGGATATTTTGCTATAACTAGGCCACTATCTGAGAGACCACAAAACCCCAACAGTGAGACTTCAAATCAGTCACTCAGTTTCCATGTGATTGCTTCCACACAAACATAAAAGAGGCAAAATTTAATGTAGAGGAAACACAATTAACTTCAATTTCAATGAAATAAAAGTGTCCCTGTAGCCCAACACATACTCAGTGCAGTTACGACTTATAACAAGCTGATTGCACATTGTTGGGTCATTTTCCATGGGGAGAGTAATCCATCTGTACAGAATTGGTATGGTTGTAAGACTAGACCATGCACAGAGTACTCACATTTTTGTGCAATTAAAACTCTGTGCTCCCGGTATGAAGGTGAACAAGTGTTTGTATTCGGGCAGAGCAATAATCATGATAATAAACTTTATACAGCTCTTTGCAAAGCACAATCACAAGGTACTTTACAGAAGGAAGAAGCAGATACGTTCATGAGCATTCCCTCAGTGTTGGCCGAAAACATAATCTGGACAATATTGTAAAAGATATCTAGGATACAAAGTTGCCTGGAGAACCAGTAGCTACATTGTGGTACCTAAGGGATCAAGACAACTGCAAGTCTGACCATGCAATAATGTATTTCTACAGTTATCAGCAGGAAGTTATAATCAATGCCAGAATGCGCAGGGAGTCAATATGCTTGGTGGTCTTTGATGGGGAAAAGGAAGCATACAAAGAGAAAGGCATTTGGGTAATTCAATTCAATGTCTCAGCAAAACTTTCTGAGACATGCACACATCCTCCTCTGAGGTTTTAGGGATAAATCGAAAAATGCAAATACTCCTTTCAGTGCAGCCACATTTACGGAATAACAGAGCATCCAGACAGATTTTGAATGAGTGTGCCCATGTATCCTCTGTGGAGCTGATACGCCTACAAGCAAAGGAGAGAATGGAAGACTGCCTGACGTTTTTCATGCTGTGTGGAACAGTACACATGGCATGGTGTATACAGAGGTAGAGCTGGCTGACTGTTTTGGACCACATTACATGCATTTATTGTTGGTATTGTTTAACTATAGGATATATAAGTGGGCTGATATTATATGTATCTGTATACACATTGGCTTATTTGATTTTATTTACTCTTAAGCAATAGTGTTGACATGAAATGAAATTGTAAGATCTGTTAGGATAGGTCTAAGGCAGGGGTAGGCAACATGCAGCTTTGGAGCCACATGCAGCTCTTTAGCCCCTCTCCAATGGCTCCCTGTGGCTTTGACCAAAAGTTAAGTTTTGCCGAACATCAAGAGCAGTGGCTTGTCTTGAGTCTCCTCAGCAAAGCTAGTCTTGGATTCCAAATCCAGAGAGGAAAAGTCTTGGGAGGAAAATATTAAATGTAATAGTGCATAGACAGATTTGTTTACTTTCGCTGCAAGGTACAAAATATTCATAAATACCAAACTGCAGAGTAGCCATTGAATGGTAAAACATATTAATGATTAAATCTGTAAGTAATGTTGATAAGGTAATTTAGATTTAATAAGGCTGTGTTATTTTCAGTATAAGGCTCAAATATTTTTTGCAGCTCCAGACAGATTTAATTACATTTTTGGCTCTTCTGGTACTAAAGGTTGCTGACACCAGGGCTAGGCAATACTTCATTGCTATTAATTATCAACTTCAAGTGGAATCAAGATGATGTGATCAGTTACAAAAGTCATGAGAATTTATCCTGAGTTGAACATGAATATCTGGACCAAATTTCATGGCAGTACACCCCATACTTGTTGGGACATTTGAACTCAAAATTAATCAAAAAATGCCAGCCTTTTGGTCACAGTAGAGGAAATATCTTCCCTAAAATGAGTAGGGATTATCCTCTGGGGACAATGAATGTCGGTACAAATTTCACAGCAATTGATCAAATAGTTGTTGAGATATTCAATCCTGACCCAAGTCATGGACAGAACTACCAACACTGCCATCCCTGGAACCATGCCTTTAGCAGGCCTAAAAATATAATTTTAACATTGTTATAATGATATTAAATATCATCCAGTCAGTGATGGTGAAAGTGGGGGTTTACACTTGGTTTTCAACACTAGAAGAATGCCATATCAACCTCACACACAACTATAAGCCCTTTTCAAACATAAAGTCCGTCCCTGAAACATTTCATGTTGATGAAGATTCTCAGTCATCCAGGTCATGGTTTCTTCAGTGGTATATCGTAGGCAACTGGACGTGTTTGACTCACTAGCTTAACTCAAGCAAGTCCAGTACCCTACAGTACGATATAGCACTTAAGTTTACCTGAACCATTTCCTGCTTTAGGTCTTGTGTGAATGGGAGCAAGTAGATTTTTGGGGAAATCTGTACCACCAATTTCCCACCTCAAGACCGAATAAGATTTCAGGGAAAACATTGATAGGGTTGTGTTGTGAAGGAAAGCAGTAACATTGCAGGAACAAGCATGCATGTAAAGGGTTATGTCCATCTGATGAAAGACGCCTTCATGTGGAGCAAGTGAACCAAACACAAGACTTCGCTAATGACGTATATG